TAGTGTACACATAGATATATCAGGTAATATATAGTGTACACATAGATATATCAGGTAATATATAGTGTACACATAGATATATCAGGTAATATATAGTGTACACATAGATATATCAGGTAATATATAGTGTACACATAGATATATCAGGTAATATATAGTGTACACATAGATATATCAGGTAATATATAGTGTACACATAGATATATCAGGTAATATATAGTGTACACATAGATATATCAGGTAATATATAGTGTACACATAGATATATCAGGTAATATATAGTGTACACATAGATATATCAGGTAATATATAGTGTACACATAGATATATCAGGTAATATATAGTGTACACATAGATATATCAGGTAATATATAGTGTACACATAGATATATCAGGTAATATATAGTGTACACATAGATATATCAGGTAATATATAGTGTACACATAGATATATCAGGTAATATATAGTGTACACATAGATATATCAGGTAATATATAGTGTACACATAGATATATCAGGTAATATATAGTGTACACATAGATATATCAGGTAATATATAGTGTACACATAGATATATCAGGTAATATATAGTGTACACATAGATATATCAGGTAATATATAGTGTACACATAGATATATCAGGTAATATATAGTGTACACATAGATATATCAGGTAATATATAGTGTACACATAGATATATCAGGTAATATATAGTGTACACATAGATATATCAGGTAATATATAGTGTACACATAGATATATCAGGTAATATATAGTGTACACATAGATATATCAGGTAATATATAGTGTACACATAGATATATCAGGTAATATATAGTGTACACATAGATATATCAGGTAATATATAGTGTACACATAGATATATCAGGTAATATATAGTGTACACATAGATATATCAGGTAATATATAGTGTACACATAGATATATCAGGTAATATATAGTGTACACATAGATATATCAGGTAATATATAGTGTACACATAGATATATCAGGTAATATATAGTGTACACATAGATATATCAGGTAATATATAGTGTACACATAGATATATCAGGTAATATATAGTGTACACATAGATATATCAGGTAATATATAGTGTACACATAGATATATCAGGTAATATATAGTGTACACATAGATATGTGGGCATCATTAAGTTATAACAGTGATATTTTATGTTTCCACAAAAAAGTGAATACCAGTCATGCGTGCCACATTTATTTTGTGTTAATATTTGTATAACTGTTTTACATTATTTTTCAGTTACTGTTGATGTCTCTCCACATTGGCTGACCTTTCTCTTTTTACTCTGTCTTTCACACCCTGTCAAGTTTAAATGGAGGTAGAAGTCAAGGTCTTCATAATTGTACAGAGCCATAAAGTGTTTCTCTTTTTACTTACAGGAAGATAATGAAGCTGAATTGTTAAGTTACAAGTTGTTATTACCAGACCCCTGTGGAGCTGTGGCATTTCTCCACAATACCACCTCTGTCTACATTGTCTCAGGTAAATCTACACAGAACCAATACTTCAGTAATAATAATAATAATAATAATAATAATAATAATAATAATAATAATAATAATAATCCTTATTGAGATACGGCAACCAAGAGGATTGAAAGTATTCATATATTTTATTTACTTCAGAATTCAAAAGAAGCCTGGTCAGTAGTGTTAATATGGACTTTTTATATTGATAAATGATTAGAATCTGTAAAATACAGTGGTAAAATATAGCACAAGATGTTGCAAATTGTTTCCTTGTTTCTCATATTCTGTGTTTTGCACTGAGCAATATACATTATAATCTGTGACATCCAATCTTGCAATCATTTCTTGTAGTGGTGCTTTTGTTAATATGTGTGCAAACTATTTGATATTCATCTCTCTTTCAATGAATCGTGTGCACGAGATATTGATGCAGTATTAATATTCCTTTTTTTCATAACTCTTCAGTAACGAGCTCTAGTCAGGCTTTTGACAAAGTGGAATTCCAAGGACCAGGAGAACGATTTCTCGGAGCAGGTAAAAAGCAAACATTGAATTATGTTTTACAAATGTCAAATTCTATAATATTGCAGAGGATCAAATAAGCACCCATTTAAGGTAAATTTGTATAGGCGTATTTTAAAAATCTTATTCATATTTTGAATATTGCATAGAATTGGAAAGCTCAGTATTTCTGTTGTCTTTGCAGGTAGATGTGATAATCAAGGAATCTTCTTCTCCAATAACCATGGTCTTATATCTATCCAGCATACCCCTGGGACTGCCCCCGTGGACACCAGGTGAAAATCTAATTACTTCCATCTCCTTTTACGTCATGGAACATCTAGGGCAACAACAAGGTGTTGGATTGTCACCCAACTTTCTCCCAGTTTTGATTTAATTACATGGCATCCTTATCATTCTTTTTCTTGCTTTAAATCTCAAAGACATCTGCTTTTGTCATTGTATATTTAAAAAAAATTGATTTGCTGCTCTTCAATTATGTTGAAGTATGTGTAGTACTAATACTGTAACAGTATAGTTACATATCCTTACCTCCTGTTACTTTTATCTCAGCTTTAAATGTCATTGGTAATCACAGTTGGTCAGAACTTGTCATATCTACATTCAAAATTAACATCTCAAAATTGAACAATGATTAGTTTTGAACAATGTTTTCAGTGCCATGGATGATTCTGTTGCCATGGATACATATTCCAGACCCGAGGTAGGTGACAGTTTGTTTATGTTTCAAGTGAAATGAATTTCATTAGTGATGTAGATGTGCATGACAGAATATGATAAACACAGGCTGCTGGGTAAACAGTGAGTGGATAGATCATTTATGTCTACTATAAACATTTGACAATCAAGTTGGCAAGCCAAGCAAATGTGCATCTTTCCCTTAGGTGTACATGTAAACCACTTGCCTACATCAATGTGCCGTCTGCTATACCAGTGACATGGTCTACTTCAGCAACTGTGGACACATTATTCAGAACTGCTACATGGTTGAAGTTTCTATAGAAAAAGGAAATATTCATCCAACTTCAATCTATAAAGAAGCTATATTCGTTTTTATTATTTTATTTTATTTTTATTATTTTTTAAGGAGGGAGGGGGGGGCACCTTGACAGGTAGTAACAAGTCCATTCATTGAGCAGGAATGTGTTTAATGATATGATAATGATATGATCATGATGTGATAATGCATAATTCATGGATACATTTTTCTTTACAGTTGTTTTCCATTATTACTTATATTATGTAATATACATGTCCTTGGGGCAGAAATGTCACTTTTGGTTTTAGAGAATCCTCTGTGCTTAGTGCAGCTGTCAGTACAACTATCAAATCAGTCCTTGTGATATCTACAGAATACAAGACACATATTTCACCAATTTCTCTTATTGTTGTTTCTGCTCTAGTCTGTGATGGGAACATCAGACCAGGTGGTTGCTGAACTTAGCATGAGTGAAGACCAACAGACACGGCTGAAGGCAGCTTTCCTACATCTGTGTAGAGGAAACCAGGTATTACATTTTAACTTGTTCTTTTTGACTGTATAAAGATATGATATAATGATGTTTTTAAATTAAAATACCTGAATTGTACCTTAGAATCAAAAATAATGTCATATCTGTATTTTATTTTTGAGCAATATCGTTGGTGTAAAAATGGTGATTAAGTGGCCATGGCACCTTTTGTCAAAATGAATGTGAAGAGATACAATAATAATCAATTTCTGAGTTAAAAATGACCAGATAATGTAACAACAATGTTGCAACATAGGTGACCATTATCTTAGGAGATTGACTTATTTACCACCTGACTTATATCTCTCAGGCAGAAGCCCAGTCCATAGTGGATGATCTTTTTCCTCCCAAAACAACCAGATCTTTAGAACCTGGCTCTCAGTTGGATGCCATGGTGGCCACCCTCAGCAGGGACCTCATTGATGACTTTCCTGCCTCAGATCCCCGCTGGGCTGAAGCTATGCCACAAGGTAAGGCACTGTTATCCTTGTAATGTTAGAGCTATGCCACAAGGTAAGGCACTGTTATCCTTGT